TCGTTTAATGAAAAGTCGAAATGAGGTAAGGGAAAAGTGGTAGAATAAGAATTTTTTTTTCGACGCATGACAGTGTGAAAGCAAAAGGCAGACAGCCGACTTAGACACTACAAATAAGCATTCTGAAAGGAATGCAGTTAGAGTCAACGGCAAAAATTTCAATTTTAAGATTCTGAAAGATAGTGCGTAGGATTGAAAGTTTGAAAAAATAGAGCAAAATTTGGTAAGTGGAGCTGATAATACAGTTCTCCAAAATGCAGAAGCAGAAATTACCGTAGGAATCGAATTCGAAATAATGTGATGAAGTTACCACGTCCCTAGACCCACCGTTATTCATACAACGGAATCAAATCACGTAAGAAGTTTGACGAAACTCCTTCAAATGTGGTGAGAAATGCTTTAGCGATTGTAAATATAAGATATATGAAGCAGAATTTTTGCGAATTCAGAAATTACTTTTAAAACAAAATCTTGCAAAACCTTAGTTTTTTCTTGTTGGTTCGCTGCTGTCTTCAAATTAGTCACATGTGCACTCAGTATATATGCTGACTCTCGCTCTCATTCTCACGTGCAGTTCTGTCTGCTAACGGCTAAAGGATGAAATGCAGGCTCCTTCGCCACACGGCTAACGTATAGCTTACAGAATTTCAGAGGTTGAAAGTAGCGATTATCCGAACTCAGTTCACAAACCTATGTATGGCAGTTGCTTCCATCACTAATGCTTTTTTTGTTGTAGACTTCTGGATGATTCAACAAAGGAGGATATATTGCTTGATAAAAACAGCCGTACAATTGCTGGCATTGCTGCAGCGAAAGCCAAATTGCCTGCCAAAGAGCTGTATATGTCAAAATCACGGTATATGCCTGGTATGTTCCAGGATTATTACGTTTCCACAAAACAACCTGGCTGTTTTCTTTTGTAGTAGAAACAGGTTTCACAACCTGAAATAAGCCCTTAACAAAAGAAACAACGTGTTTCGTTGTTTTCCTGTTTTTTCCCTTAGCGCTCGAATCTTATTTTCTTACCAATATATATTTGACATAACTTTTTTTTTTACCAAGACCGCTTAGGCATTAATGTGAGAATGTTGTGTTATTATGCGTTTTTTGCAGCAATGCAATGCGAAAAACGTATATTGACGAGAGGTTGTCTGTGTGTGTG